CCTGGCCATTTTTTAACGAGTACCCACTCGTTTGGACAACTGTCTAATTTATCTGGTACCAAAAAATTGTGTATATTGGCTAAGGTATTCGGAGATCTACTAAGCAGCCATTCTTGCCTTATTTAAATATATAAGTGAAATATTAAACAAAAAAAATTCCGTTTACTACAAAGCAGTCGGATTGTTACTTTTTGTAAGCTACTTATGAAGAGAGCTGTAGTTATGTAATAAAAATAGGTTACGAAAAAATAATATCGTGCTTAAGCCCTTTTCAAAAAAATAAAATCATTCAAACCTCAATACCTGTTGCGCAAGCTAGACAATTTAATCTGCAAATACTTTAGGAATATAAAATACTGACACTTTGTGTTTTAGATTTTGGAATTCAGGTAGATATATTGATTTGCCCAACCAATCATCGTCAACTGAAATGCAAAAGGCCGACCGACATCTTCTCCTGTAAAGAAAAAATTTTGTTAGTTTTGGCCTTTTGCATTTCAGGTGACGATATGTATGACCTAAATTGCATACTAATATGTACAGTATCGGTCATATCTATAGCACGCCATTTCGAAGTGATATTGTGTGCAACTTATGTTTATTTATTTATTTTTGAGAATTTTCAATTAAAATTCAGTTCTTTTTCTAACAAACCCCATATAAACCAAAGATTAACAACTTGTAGAAAACTTCAAAAAAGTGCAACAAATTTTCACCTAAGTTTCAAACTTTTTTCTCGGAAGTGCTGGAATTTTTTCGAGTACACAGTTTTTTAGCCCAATCAATTTTAGTCTGATAATGTGCAAGTTTTAAGTGACTGAAAGTTACCGTTGATTTTTTAGAATTCTTTTCGCCAAAGCTGTTGCGGTTTTCATTCATATACAAATAAATTGAGTTTATTCATTATATGGAAGCCAATGCGACAAAAAAAAATTTGAAAAAATTAACGGTAATTCGTAGACACTTGAAATTTGCACGTTATCAGACTAAAATTGCAGTGGCTAAAAAACTGTGTACTCGAAAAAATTCTAACACTGCCGAGAAAAAAGTTTGAAACTTAGGTGAAAATTTGTTGCACTTTTTTGAAGTTTTCTACAAATTGTTAAACTTAGGTTTATATGGGGTTAGTTAGAGAAAGAACTGTATTTTAATTGAAAATTCTTAAAAATAAATAAATAAACATAAGTGGCACACAATATCACTTTGAAATGGCGTGCTATAGATATGACCGATACTGTATGTCTACATACATATGTATATCCAAATGCAATTATTTGCCTTAAAATATTTTTTTATCATAATTTTTTTTTTCATTGCTTTATGAAAATGGAACCCTATTTTTGGGGGCAGCGAATTCGCTACAACGCCATTATTTACACTGGCAACTAGTTTGTTTGCAGAATGCTTTAAAGTCATTAAGTAGGCCGAGCACCAAATTTTTTTAAGACTAATGAGTTTTTAATTACGCTGGCAAGGTGAGCAAAAATTGGCGACACATATTATGTATGTATTGTGAATGAACTATTTTTTGTAATCAAATCGAATTTGATAAAAAAACGTACAACCGTTTAATGACTTAAAAATTTAATGCCTGTTCAGCATTTTTCAGTTAACCTAGCCGCAGTTAATGAAAATAATGAAACTAAATATTTATTGCCTTTAAAAATTGATTTTTTGGTTCAAATTTGATACATACAAATTGTCAAGTTAAAATATGTGTAAATTCCACCAAAAAAATTAAATACTTAAAAAAAGTGATTATAACTAAGAGCTAAACAATTGACCAATATTTTATACCCAAACCTTGAGAACTTTAAAAGTAGTATACAAATGCAGATTAGATTCAGCATCCAATCATCAGTTTATAAGATAGTTCAGCATATATTATTATACATACACATTTATTATAAGTTTCATAGAGTTTTGAAAATTCATCACCTACATATGTAAGTATGTATTATCCGCATAAGCATATAAACAATAAGCTATGCAGTTGGAATACATACATCCGTAATTAATTGCATTATTCACAAGTAAATTAATTATCTCTACTTGAGTTGAAAAGTGCGGCTCTTCTAAAGAAAAAAAAAAACGCCACAAAGCCGCACCGCATCGTCGAACAATACTCCTTTTATTAGCAACATTCATCAAAACGGGGAAAAAGTATTAGTTTCTTTTAACGATTCCCGCAAAATAAAACGCAAGCCATTGAAACCTAAACTACTCCAATACTGTGGCAGCTGCGATGCCGCAAAAACCGAGAACAGAAGTTTGCTTATTTTCTTCATACAACCCGACAACCCAGCGAACAAAAGGCATCAAAAATAAATAAAAAGAAATGCACAAACTCTAAATTTGCAGCTTAAACTTTTATACGTATGTATTTGCATTCATTGGTGGCCGCTATGTTGTAATGGGTAGAAGTGCGAGCTACCATTCCGCAGGGCCTGGTTTAAATCCGGTTTCCGAAAAACCCCAAAAAACGAAAAAATTAAAAAAAAATCCCATAGCGATCGCCATGAAGAACAGCTTCTCATAAAAAATACAATCGCCTTTCGGAGTGGGCATAAAACTTTAGGTTAGGTTACTCCAAACTAAAAATGAATTCCTATATTATTTCTAAATGTAGATGACTAATACATCCAGGAACAGTATATGCGAACCTTAGAAAAATGGACTATGGGCTCGTGTAGAGGGTAAAAAGCTAGTACAACCAGCCACTCTCAGCATTATAGATTAAAATGACAATGATCTTGATAAATATTTTCAAAATAGGCATGACTGCGTAAGGTGTAAGAAAAAGCCAAATTTTTTAAAAGAAATCGACCTAGTTTTCACTTCGAAACTATCCTCTTAATTTTCAACAGAGTCATCACTTTCTTCTTAACTTGGTTTCCAACGGCTTATACACAAATACATTCAAGTATGTAATGACAAACACATACAGCTGCACGCGTAACTGCAACTTTCTTGCGCTCACCGCTAACGCCACCGTCAACCAAAGACGACTAGTTGCCGCTGATTCTGCTACTACTCTACCACTGCTGCTCTTTCAGCTGCAACCATCATAGGGTTTCAATAAATTGCACTGATTATTTCCGTTTTCCCATTTGGCTGGCGTTGCTACTAAGAAGAACTTTGCTGCGGCTCGCTCTATTTATTGCAAATCTTTTTACAAGCCGCCAGCAGCTGTGCGGTATACTTACAAACATGTACACATACATACATACATACATATGTAGAGTAACTACTTCATTATTTTGTACTTGGCAGTTTCGTATTTCGCTTCGCGGAGTTAATTTTTTATACCGCCACACTGAGCGCACTTGATAAAGTAATTTCCGTAGCAAGGATACTGCTTTTTCATCCTTTCACTCTTGACTGCCTTTCACTTAATATATTTTGTAAATGTCTCTGAAGAAAACCCCGAGCACTCTCACACTCAAACATACATATGTATTTAGTACACTCAGGGAGGCGTAAAAAATTGCACTATATTTAGTTGGTAAAATTATTACTCTATAGTGTGCAAATGCAAAATCGTTGTGGGCAAATAGGAATTTTGATATCAGTTAAGTATTACCTTTCTACTTATTTTATTTTTTTGGGAATACATATGAGGGAAACTTGCGGGGTGAATGTGTGATATTACGCAAGAGACCGATATAATTTATTGCGATGTGGTGACGTTATTCTAAGTCGAAAATAGTAATTTTACTTTATACCAGTAAAGTAGCGCTTACTCTGCCGTTTCCCGCTACAAAGCGTTTTTAGGGTACAATTTTGAAATCTTAATTACGGATTTATCCTTCTTTGTTATCGCAGAATGGTTCGTCTGAAAATTTTACCGCGCCCTAGCTAGTAGTAAACGAATTAGCAAGACTAAACCTCTTGAACCAATTGCTATCTCAATGAAAAAAAGAAGATCAAAGAGATAAACCTCCGCTATCTCTTCGAGGCTCCTAAAGGCTTAAGTCCCTCATACACTGTAGGGCAATCGTCTTGTTTGATTCATAAGTCAGTTGTATTGGTTGTGGTGTATCTATTAATTCTGTGTCATTTTAATAAAATAATTTCAGTACCTTGAGCATTTTTTATTAAGCTTATATTACTTATCTGCCTTGCTTACTGGTATACCAGAGTCATACTTGGCCACGCTTTTCATTTTAAATGCCATAAATTTTTTATAATGACTATTTATTGTTTAAGTTTTAAAATGAAAACTTATCGAGACATATTCTATGAGCATAGAAAAAATAATTTTCTACTTTTTAGTCCATTTATAAAAATGTGGTATATTAAAATCGTTCTCGGTTTTCACAAGAACGAAAGTGAGAACAAAACTGTCGAGAAAGTTCTCAACGGGAATTATATAACAACAAACGAAACGTTCTCAAAGAGAGTAAAATGGGAACTAAAATCTAGGGAATTTTCTCTCGAATAACCATTTGGGAACTAAAAGCTCAAGAATTATCTGACAGAGAATGAATCGGGAGTAAATTTTCTCTGGGCTTTTCACGAACATTGGGAGCGAGAACAAAATTTTGCTACTTTATTTTTTATGAATAAGGCCAATAGTGTTTAACCCAGATAACCCTAAAAGTTATTGAGATAGTAAAGCAACAATATTTAACTGAATTTGGGCTTCAAATGTAATAAAAAAGAAATGTGCCTACTTAGTTCAAAACATTTTATTCATAAACCTTGAGTATTTGGCCGTACTATATATAGTACATTAGGGAGATATGCATTGTAATAAAGGAAAATTAATTTTTAGTATGAAATGAAATAAAGCACTTTACATGCACTCCAACGTCACACTTCGAGCATCTGGTCGTGGTCCTTTCGTGGCAAAATCCACATCGAGTTTGTTTATCCTGAGGAATAACGAAATGATCAAGGTGGTCATATCGTAAAACTGTTCCTTGTGAGCTACTTGCGTGTCCTCTTTGATAAGATGGGTTTTTACGATTTTGAAGCAGTAATGTTGTTGCAATTACCCTTCTAAATTTCAGCTGATCCAGGTTTCCACCTTGTTTGCGCTGCAACTGCCATGCATTTTGTATAGCCATGTCAATACAGTGACCCAGCAAACAGTTATACCACTTTTTGCCTCGGATGGAAATTCTATACAGGCTGATATTCTGATCTGAACGATCTACTCCTCCCATGTTGGCATTGTACATGTTTATGAGGTGTGGCTGCTCAACTTGAATATTCTTTTTTTGCTGTCGTGAATAACGTTTTACAGCATGGATCGGTGCTAGTCCAGCAAAATTAGAAATAAGGCAGACCATATTATTGTCATGCCACTTCACTGCTATTATATTTTGATCAGAGATTTTTGCATAGTCATACTTTCCCCTCTTATCTTTTTTCATATGCTTCGAATCTGTTAGAGAAATGTCTTTTAACCGGTTTTCTCTTATTGTTCCTGTTGAATACAGGTTCCATTCAGTTAGTTTTTCGATCAAAGGAATCGAACTGAAAAAATTATCAAAAAAGAGATGGAAGTTCCGGTTTGGCCACTTGGCACGTAAGGCTTGTGCATATTCTAGCACTACTCCACCACCAACACCAAAATCAGCGTAGTCTTTGCTTATGTTTGTTGACGCACCCTGATATGGTTCAAACCAGTTCAAATAGCCCAATCGGGTGGCACCGACCCACAACTTATATCCGTAACGAATAGGTTTTCCATGGATGTACTGTTTACAGCCATGACGGCCATAGTACGGTACCATGGCCTCGTCAACGGAATGCATTTCTTCGACTGGTGAGTTCTCCATGAATTTTTTATTCAGCAGACGAAACAGAGGCCTTACTTTTGCAAACTTGTCATCGATGTTCAAGTGTTGATTGTCGCACACGTGAAAATTTGAAAAAATCAAATCAAATCTGTCCCTCGAAATTGCTTCTGAGACCAAGTCATTGTGGCAGTCTTTTTCGCGTTCCCAGAACATTTTTCTTCTTGGAACCTGTATATATCCGCTTAGAATCAAAACTCCAATGAATGCCAAAATCTCACGCTTTTCAAGGATTGCGTTAACATTTTTTTGTTGCGCGTACTTGTTACTCTCAGACAAAATAAGTTCTATCACTTCATCATCAAAGAACTTTGAAAAAAGTTCCAGCGGATTTTCGGTGTTCACTAAAACTTCAGAATCTTCGAAATCTGTTGCAATAACCGCCAAATCTTCTTTTACCCAATTGTATTTCTTTTGCCTTTTCACATTGCATTTGCGAACATTCTCTTGCTTTTGTAGTAGGCTCAGTGGTAAGTCATCATCCGAGTCTTCTGAAGAAGTACTCTCGTCATTTTTTCTTTCAAATACAACTTCTGCTGGGGCCTGTAGTTGTGAAGCTGGGAGGTTATCCATCTGCATATAATCTTCATCCCCAGAGTCTTCATCTGTCAAATCACCCGTTGCATTATTTGGTGGAAAAATACACACTTCTTCAACTCTAGTTTCATTTGTATCATCTTCCTCTAATATAGCAAGAACTTCGTGAAGAGAAATCCCCCTGTGACATAACGAAAAAATACAATGCATATTTTCCTAATGTACTAAATATAGTACACCTTCATTTGTTTATCCAAAATCCATGAAATTTTACAAAAATAACTTAATTTTTCATGTCACTCCGAAAGTGTCACTATATTTCTTTCACTTACCAATGAAATAAAAATTTTCTTTATAAATACAATATTCTATACTCTCTTACCTTTCAAACCGTATGTTGTAGTTTTGCATTTTCTATTTTTGTCTAACTTTGAAGCACACAAACACAAAATTTTAACTGTAGCTTTTGTTTGAGTTCAATCTCGAATGACTGCCTTACGCGTACTGAGCAGTTGAATACGCTTCGCGCTTTTGCACACATTCAAATGTGAGCATGCTGCTACATGTTCTTGCTGTACTATATTTAGTACATTAGGTACATCTGGGTTAAATAGCTTTAAATGTTTTGAATATTAAAATTATTTAGTCAAAAAAAAAAACTGAAAGATAATCATGCAAATAAAGTCAACGAAAGACTTAAGACACAAACTTTTCTTGCACAGAAAGTGAAAAAATTTTCCATAAATGGACGGTTCGCCTTATAGTAAACCATCTGTAAATTGAAATAATCCAGCTTTGCTCTGGCTTAGAATAACCAGTCATCGTTCTCATCAAAACGATTTCTCGACCCAACACACAGATGCCCCTCTCATTCTTAAAGCTAAGTTCTCAAAATTTTTGTTCTCGTTTTGTTCACTTCCAGAACGTTCCTCAGACTTTAGGCTGACAGTCATTTTTTAATTTTTTATATAACTTGTTTCCAAATCTAACCAAGTCCGGCTTTTAAAATAAGTGGCAACTCTATTCTTAATTATTTTCCAACTGAAACATTCTTAAATAGGCTTCTGCTGCCATTGTGATGCACATTTCAATTAACTGATCATTTAGGTTGAATTTTACTTTTAAACAGATGGCAACCCACCTGCATTTGGTTAAACAAAAAAAACATTTTAAACCATTTAAATTTATACCCATCTTTCAGTTATGCATTTGACTTTCTTAATAATTTGAATCTATTTATTTAACCAGGTGGCAATCCTCTTCAAATATCTGAAAAATATTCCAAATTTTCAAACCAAGGGTTTCTTTACACTCTTTCATTTGACACCCATAATTTAATTTTTTGTAAAACTTGTGTATAATTTAATTAAGTTTGACTTTTAAAATAGGTGGCAACCCTCTTCAAAATATTTTCAAACCAAAACTTTCTTCAACCTCTTTGTCTGACGAATGTATTTTGTTACATATTTCAATTCCTTTAATTGAAGTTGAATTTGACTTTTTAAACAGGTGGCAGCCCTCCACATGTAGTTTAGAAATGAAGCCGTTTCAACCCCATTTTGATTGATGGACATCTTTTAATGATAAATTTAACTTATTAAATAATTTGAACTTTTTTTCAACAGTTGGCAACCCTTTCCAAATACCAAAACCTTATTTTTCAAAAGCATTGCGTTTATAATTTGATTAGTCTAGGAAAATTATTTCCAACATTTTAGTCGATTTATAAAACCGTAAATTTTTTTATTAGATTCCCCTACAAAAATGCAAAGATACTTCGTTACTTAAAGAGATAATCATGACTAACTAAAATAATCTACGTGGGCAATTATCTGATACGTACAAAAAGCATATTCCAGCAAATGTCATAGTTTTTGCCATCTAAAATTTTCCCAAGAAATCTTTGTACATTTCAATACAATATTTTTTTTTTTTCAAAATCTGAAGACACATTTAAGTTGTTCTTATCAAAGTTGCAAGTCAAATTAATGCCAATAGCGATTATAAATACCGCACCTTGTTTTTTTCGAAAAAATTTCCTTTACATTGTCGGATTAATTAAAAACGTATGTTAATTTAAGGAACACATAATTATCAATTACGCATGCGCGCATACATATCTACAACTGAAATCTTTTCATCTTCTGACAGGCTAATGGAGGAAATAAATGGCAATTTTCAGTCATTCGTCTCCATTTTGCGTACAACGATGCGACATGAGAAAGCTACAGGTTTATAAGCATGTACATATGTATGTATGCATACGAAAATTTACGCAGGTCCATATCAGGCTAGGGATGATGGCCTATTTTAATGGGAATTTGCGCTAAAAGAATGCTCACTTAGATTACAAAAAAAGAGCGCTTAAGATACTTAAGTGGCTGGTTAATATCTGCAGCAATAAGGAAAATTTACTACAGTCTAAGTCCTTGCAGAATCCAAAAAACATGCTGGCCCCTACATATGCAATCGCTTGAATCCTGGCCTGCTGCGCTGCACTGCGCCACCAAACGCAAACAACCATTTCTATATTCATGGCATATTTTAATGGCTTAAAATTTTAATTGACAATAACCGCTGATGCGGAAGCTTAAATCCTTTCAGAGCATCCTTTGACGGATGCTGATGCTTATGGGCCGCATGCAAACGCGTGTGTTCATGAGAATTTCAGCTGACCAATGATGCGGAGGTTCGTTGGCCTCAGCCTTCACATATGGTCGGTAAGCAGAAAATAGTGTTACTTACGTACATACTCACGTACATATGTATGTGCATACATAAATCCATGTAAATGCAACATTCACCGATGGCCAACCAAAAGTGGGCAGATTGCATTTCATTAACTGTAACCGTGCGCAGTGTACTTCATGAATACAATTTAATTGCTGTCACATGAAAGGGAAACAATTATGCGTAAGTGCGTGTGCAAGATGCTCATATGTTGAATAAATTGCCTCACATGATGCATTGACAGGCAAAGGGACAAACGAGGAAATTGATAAGCTTTATGAGGTTTTCGTAGAATTTTCGCTATTCTTTTGCTTTCATTGTAGTACGAGTGTGTGTTATTGAGCGTGAATCACGTCAATCTTCTCAATCATGAAAATTACAGATGATTACTGTAGACGTGTAAAAAATAAAAATAAATGATTCCCAAATTAGACATTTGTGATTCAATGGTTCCGAAGGTAAAAGTCTCAGAGGCGTTTTGTTGTTTGGAAAGCAAAGTTTCGTTTTTGTGAAAACATAACAAGAAAATAAAATTTAACTCAATAAATATAGGCTTCCAAGTTTAATGGTCGAAAAATGGACCAGCGGACCAATACGGGTTAACTGTTTGGTACAAACGCAACAAGTGATCTCAGTACGTATTACGGTTGACATTATATTTGTAAAAAAAAAAGTGAAACTTACGTTACACATCTAGTTTGTCTCATCACCAATATACACACATACTTCTGCTTTTGCTTAAGGTTTTATCTAGATCCCTACATCTACCCTGTTCGTTCTAATTACATTTATGTTATTCTGTTTTCCTTTATATTTATTTTTACCTTTATACTTGTTTAGGCGCGACTGCTAACACCAGGCGCCTAAAGGCATGCTATGTACTGCTGCATGTGCAAAAATTTCCTTCATTAAATTAATGAAATTTATGTACATGCACTTCTCAACTGCCATGTAATAAAACTTTCTTAAGTTATAATTTGATGGCAGTTCAAAGCATGCTCGGCCTAGTCTGATGCATCCTCCGGACACTGCTTCCGGAGTCTTCTGCGGACTCTGCATGGCTTACAACCATGCGGAGGTGGTAATAGTTGATTACCATTGGCCACAGTGCCTACCCACTACTTTTTGGTCCAATAAATATTTTTTTATATACATACATGCAAACATACAGGTCTCCCCTCTCACTGAGTTATTCAATACTCTCATGGTAACAAAATCGATGTAACATCCATTAAAAAATATCGGAAACAAAACCAAAAAGTTATTGAAAACAAAACTGATAAAAATATCGATAACAAAATCGATAACAAAATCGGTTAAAATATCGATAAAAATATAGACAAAAAGTCGATAACAAAATAGATAAAAATATCGATAAAAAAATCTACAAAAAAATGTGTAACAAAATCGGTAAAAATATCGATAAAGAATATTGAATAAATTGATAAAAATTTCGATAACAAAACCGGTAAAAATGTCGATTAATAATATGTCGATATGTTCCAAAAATATCTATAACAACAACGATAAAAATATCGTTAATTATATCGATATGTTCCGAAAATATCGCTATCAAAATCGATAACAATAACGATAAAATATCGATAACAAAATCGATAAAAATGTCGATTGTAAACTTGATAAAAATATCGATAGCAAAACCTACAAAAATATCGTTTATTATATCGATAAGTTCCGAGAATCCCGAAAATCTCTAATATCCCGAAATAATTCCCAGATTGAGTCTGTGCCTCTATCTATATCCTATTCTGTATAATTACCTTTATTTTAATATTTCTTCCTTTATCTTCCTCTTCACTTTTATCGGTATCTTCATTCTCATCTTTTTCTTTATACTTATCTTTGTTTTTACTTTTATGTTTATCATTTTCTTCATCTACATATTTATTACCCTTCTCCTTTGCTTTTATATATGTAAGTAAAGTATCTAAATTTACCTTGGTCTTCATTTTTGCTTTTATCTTTACGCATAATTGTTTTGGTTTTTATTTTTACCTTTGCCTTTTCCTTTTTTGTTATCCATGTGCGTACTCATCTTTACTTTCATTCTTGTATTGGTCTTTTCCTAAGTGTTATTCTTTAACCTTTTATTTGCAAGTTTTTGTTAAATTTAATACACTCAACAAGTACTTGTTTCAGCACCAACCATTTCCGTGTGCAATTTCCGTTGAATTTGGCAATTTACTCCCAACAAACCAACCGCCGCTAAAGAAGTTTCACTCCAAAAACCTTTTTCTTGACAGATCGTCCTCGCCCAACCCTTCTTAAAATTACTTTAATTAGAGTAACAACCATTTAAAGATTTCTTATTTGCATTTATTCTTGATTACATACATGATTTAACATTACATCCAATTTTTTCAACATTCAAAAGAAAACAAAGAATAAAAGCTTCTATGAAAATTACTAAGTCAATCCCTTATTCACTTCGCAATAATCGCATGCGTACATTCGTTTGTACATAATTTTCCGCAAATTAAATTTGTCGCATACTTTGCAATTATGCATTATGCAACATAGTTTGCTTTAGTGTTGAAAGCTTTTCACCATAATGCTTAATTAAAATGCACTGTGCAGCTTCAAAAGCAGATACGCTTGCGCTAAATTAGTGCTGGTTTTTTTTTTTCAGTTTGCACACACCGACTGAGCTTCCTTGCTAA